TCCCCGAACCATCGTCAGTCTGCGCGGGGTCAGAGGGGTCCGTTTGCAGAGCGTCCTGTCCTGCTGCTTCGTGGAAAACGGTGGACTTTGAGGTGTTTGGACAGGTGATCGCTGCGGGCGAACTTCTTCTCGCAGACGATGCACTGGTACGGTTTCACCCCGGAGTGGGAGCGCCGGTGTCGGGACAGCTCATCGGATCGAGAGAACCTGCCGGAGAGAAAAAAAAAAAAGAGAGAGAAAAAAAAAAGCGTTTAGAATCCAAATCCTTTAGCTTTTCGGTCTACGTCGAGAGCCGTTTGAACACAAACGCCCGACACGTTCTGGCATTTTTGTCATCCCCCTGTCACGTCCATTGCTTTCCGCTTGGATTCATTGGGCGTTTGTGTGAACTGCTTCCTGGATGGGAGTAAAACGAGTGGTGCCAGGCTGTTTTACGAGGGGGTAACCTGAGAGGTGTGATGCTCCGTGTGCTTGTTGCCCGGTGGCTTTTTCTCTGTGAAGCGAAAGAGTCAAACCATATTTAGTTCAACACATGAGCACTGTAAATCCAAGCCCCGGTCTATTCCTGGCCCGGTCCGCCGTGGTCTCTGTGGGCTCCAGCCTGCCCGGCTATCAGGACAGCGAGGGGTTAAGTGGATGACAGAGTAGTGCTTCTGCACTCAGATGTGTCTCTGTGTGTGCATTAGTAAATCTTTTAAGATCAAATTAACCAGGAACACAGATTGATTTCGCTGCGGGCTGCAGGCATGAAGGTGATAATTCACAAAGAAGTTAAAACATCACTCAGAGTAATGTTAGACCATTCCCACCCCAGACGCGGATTACATAACCCATCCCCTCGTCCTGTTAATGGGCCAGTCATAAAAAAATAGACTACTAAAAGGACTTTATCAAGCTCATTTGTGGCGTCTGAGGAAGTCAGAACATTTGTGGTGTTGGTAACATTTTTTAATCTGCATAGCTAATCTGCTACAACAGCACCAATGACACACTAATCAGTCACAATGCGACAGCGAGCTCCCTCAGATAAAGACTCTGTGGTAGGAAACAGCCTGCCTGGTGGGAAAGAAAAGCAGCGGCAGCAGAATGTGAGCTGCACCTTGGTTCCTTAATCAACCAGCATCAGCTCTATCTTGCCTTTGAATGTTATGCTCTTTAAAACAATCCGCCTGATTATATTTTACAAAAAATGTCAGACTCTTTCCCTACTCTGAAAAGATTGTGTTCCTGACATTAGTAATGCAGCTAAGCTAAAGAAAAGTAATTAAAGAGTACAACCTGAAGTTATCCTTTACTGACTACTTTACTGACTACTTTCTATTACTGACAATTTTCCATATAGTGTTGTTTATCTGTGCTTCACTTACAAATAGAAGATTTCAATTCTTGTCTCTATATTATCTATTGTCTCTATGTTGGAGTAATAATCTAAATGGTCATTAGCTAGCAGCTACAGTACTTTTGTTTATACAATGGTAAACAGCAAGAATGCACTGCTTTATCTATAGTTCTGCTCAGAAACTTATGCTTCAACTATTCTCGAGACATTAGCTTTCTTTTGCTCTGTTCTTGCCTCTTCACTGACGGATGTAACATCAGTGTCATTCACATCTTATATTTCTTGGTGAGCATCTGTCTTGGTAAAATAAATATTTATTAGTGTGTCTTTGAATTAAAACTAAATCGGAGGACAAAAACTTGATCGTTCACCTCCCAGTTTCTTAGCGTACGACAAGTTCAGGTTTTTTAAAGCATCTCTTAAGAGCAGTTACTGTAAATGGCTGTACGTTTGGGTTGTTGTTGTAAGGTGTGAACTACATGCTTCCACACATTACGGCCTAAAGCTGTGGCGGATAGACTGCAGGCTGGGGCATGACAGAAGTCATGTCCTGCTCCCCTAATAACTTAAACTGAGACCAACATATTACACCAGGGAGGGTCTTTCAGTTAGCAAAAACGAATTTTGGATACAAACATTTCCAATTGTAAACTTTCTTCTTTTTTTTTTAATCAACGAAACAAATAATGTATCATTTAATGTAAGCTCTATATCCCCTCCTGCCTGTCATCCTGCTGTATGTACTGTATATTTGCGCTCCATGATGTGCATTCCAGGAAATGTGAGGAAGGTCAGAGAGTTTCTGACTGTGAGGGAGGAGGGCACTTCTGGTGATCAGTTTAGTGTTTTTCACTTTGGATAGTGGTTTTTACACCATCAGTCCTAGAGGCGGCCTGGCCTGGCCTGGCTGCTGCTCAGCACATAGTACACATATTAGTGGCGGTGCTGTGGGAAACACACACGCAGGCTTTGTTCTAGCTTGTACCCGAGAAGGTGGGGCAGCCAGGTTGGTTACAAAGTTGGAAAATTACAATAACAGAGATACTGGCCGGGGCTCAATGCTAGCTGTCATATTGACTTTCTCTCCGTTTGATTCGTTTTCTTTTAAAGGGCATGGTGTGTAGTTCTCTTTGTGGTAAAAACTGTGGCCATATTTTCTGGGTTTTTCATTGACTTGATTGCTGTCAAGTGAAATGTAAACCATTACAAAAACGAGCTTTCCTCAAAGATTTCCAAGACAGTATTTCATGTAGTCATCCGCCTAAATGAATCCAGTTTCCTCTCTTCTGGGCTTGAAGTGGCCAATCTAACACTAAATGAATCCAGCTCTGTCGCCACTCAGCATTGTGAGGCTGTAATGTGGAAATGGACAGGCTGACACAGCCTCGATGACAGACGCACGGAGCTCTGTTTTCACAGCAAGCCTCTCTTTCCAGCTCGACTCTAAAGCCCAGACTCTCCATGCAGAAAATACTGAATTCTTGTGTCTACCGGTGCCCACCTGGGACACGAGCACAACTACCGACTGCAGCCAGAGAGAGGGAGAGGGCAGATAAAGGTCCTCGAAGCTTTCAAAGGAAAGGAATATAACTTATAGGTGGGAGTTCACCCAACGAAATATCACTGCTCTCTACTTCAGAGGGGGCGACACATGGATCTATTCTAAGGTTATAAAGGTGTCCGGCTCGCTGGTTCTCGTCCATTTCCTGTGCCCAGCGGGAAAGGGGCAAAGAAGGGACAACTATATATACAGTGAACTGCGACTGTCAAACCAGGTCTAAGGAGCCGATGTTCAGGGAGTATCATGTTCTGGATGCTTTCAATGCTTAAAACCATCCACCGAAACGCCGCGTGACCCACCAAAAAAACAAAAAAACACACAGAATTCTCATCATCAGCGCGAGAAAGTGTGTTTTTTTAAGGCTACTTAAAAAGCGCAGTCAGCTAAAACCCTAAGTAAACTGAAAGCGGGAACACCTGCAAACGTGTGCATCTGGTTCCCAAGATCTGTTCTGCCGGCGGTCCATTCCAGATAAAGTGTAGCTTCCAGGGTACGGCGCTGGATTTCGCACACATGCCTCAAGCTGCAAACCGGTCCGACCTGCAGGTTTGACTGAATGTGATGACTCACACGTTGAGCGAAAATAAACACAACTGCTCTATTAGACAAATAGTCAGTAGATTAAGCAAACAGATATCTGTTTCAACTCATTCATTAAAAAAAAAACTGCCTATTCAGCACAAATCATGTTCATAGTTTGAGCCAAGGTTCATTAATGCAGCTGCGCTCCCTGTTTGAAGTTTCCTGACTGGAATAAAAGCTTAGAGATTGCCTATACTAGCCTTCAAAGGCCTTTCTAGATATGAAATCTTAAATTAAAAGTGTTTATTCACCAACTGAGCTAGAGGACAAATGCCACTGATTCCTTAAGACCAGAGTCAAGCAAAACAATGAGTCAAAGGGTGCTTGAAAATGGTCAACAGCCAAATCTCATACACCCATATCATGTGGTAATAGTCAGAGATTATGCTGCCTGGTTACTGAGAGCTGTCATCTGAACGCTCCTGTCCTCATACTGAACCACACAAGTCACACTTGCTGTGGCTGTTAAATGTGTCCGAGTATCCCTTTGAAAGTTGCAGCTGCAAGGAACTCTGGGACAGAACCGACTTTTTTATTTCACGAAACATGATCAGTGTGTCCTACGTTGAAGTGGAGGACATGAAGCTCCTTCTCTTTTAGCATTTAAAAAGGTTCCATCAGATCTTTGTCACGGCTACTTCTGGGTCCTTAAAATGAGTTTAGATACTTCACCCACAAAAAGGTGGGGGACAAAAACAGGCCTAAGTGTTTCCTTTGTGTTTCCTGGACAATATCATTTAGGGCAAGCTCACCTACAAGCACGCCCCATTAGCTTGTTTTCGATCCATGCCTCGCTAGAGCTTTGAACTTTAACTCAAGTCCTTATCATAATTCAACCTCAATCATGACGCTTGCCTTAACTTAACCCCGCACGCACAAACAGGAGACTGCGTATACCATTGAGCAACGACTGGAAGCATTTTGAGGTGCAATCCAATGACCAACAGGTCAGAAGTTGGCAAATGTACTTTGGATCAAAGTGTTCAAAACAAGGTTTTAAAAAAAAATGTAAACAGAGGATGGGACACAAAGACACAAATCCAACTACTTGATGCAAAAGAAAACTCAAAATATGCCTTATGGATTCATCAGAATGTCTAGTGTCTTCTTGGGGTTTAAAGTCGATGGCGGTGTATTTTTGTCGCCTGAATGTGTGTTAACTGGTCGCAAACAGGTGGGACAGCTACCAGGGGGCAAAGTCTGCACGGAGACGACTTCAAAAGGTGCCCTATCTAATCTGCGACTTCACCGTGGTTCAAAAGCACACAGATAGCAGGCGGAGAGGCTTCTTGTACATCGGGACACACTGTAACCGTAATGAACGGCCCTGATTGAGGCTCCCGCGTAAACAGAGCCTCCTGCTCCATCTCCCAGTACGTTTAACACCCATTTATGCCCCCGTAAAACCTCCCCGTCCGCATAAAAACATCCCTTCGCGCTGACATCAAAGGCTCGGGCTTCTAGCGACGAGCTGCTCCCCGTTTTAAGCCTCCAGGAGGATGTCGGTTCCCTGGTGCCGAGACGATAAAGAGACCGGTTCGCCGAAGGCCCGAGTATCGCGCAACGGAGAGCGTTTACGGGGTGGAGGTTGATGAAGGTCTAATTTCCCCTGTCATCCTCCAGATAATGACCGGCGGGCTCGGCTTACCTCCATCCGCAGCCGGGCCACGTGCAGGCGAAGGGCTTCTCCCCCGTGTGCCTCCGGAGGTGCGCCTTGAGGTGGCTGCTCTTGGTGTACATCTTATTACAGCCGGGGAAGGAGCACTTGTGCATCTTTATGAGGTCTGCCACCGTGCTTTTCTGGTACCTCTGGGCTCCGGCCAGGACCCCCGCGGCCGACGCGCCGCTCAGGCCGCCCTCCCCAAGGCCGGTGGGTTTGGCCGCGATGGGCACCGGCGCGATCCGAACGAACTTGGAGGAAGCGGCGCTTCCGCCTTTGCTCGCGCCTGTAGATGCCAGAGACAGCAGCTGAGGCACCAAAGCAAAGGTCTGGCCCTGGATGTTGACCAGGAGCTGGGCGATTTTTATATCTGAGGCGGGCTGGGATGGCTGGGAATGGGCTTTCTGGGATTGCTGGGCGGCTGTGTCTGATATGGCACTGGTGTGTGGCTCTTGTTTGATCTGTAAGGGCTGGATTTGTAGGATTACAGGCACGCCGGAGGTAGAGCTGGCACTTTCGGATGAAGCGGGCGATGGCCCGCGCTCTTCCAGTTTGATCCCGTCCACGTGGCTGTCTGAAGAAGCCGTGGCGCAGCTAGCATCCCCCGTTACCGGGCTGTCCGGGGATCGTTTGGTCTCTGAGTAGAAGGAGAGTGGAGAATGAGCCACGGGAACAGTTTGATCCGAGCTCCGCGACGCTGACTCGGGTTCTCCAGCTGACGTCCGCGAACCCTCCGCCCCAACCACATCAGCAGTGGACATCAGAGGCAGCATGGCCTCTTCCATCCCCTCCTCGCCTTTCTCTACAGCCACCACCATGTTCTCCTCCAAGAACTCCTCAATCTCCTCCAGAGTGGGCTGGAAAAGGAATGCTTCGGGGTCCTGCAGCTCGTCCAGGAAGACCGGGAACTCGAAGCAGTCCTCCTTGGACTGCTGCTGCAGGAGGCTCAGCCGCTGCTCCTTCTTCGACTCCCAGGCCAGGCCCATGGGCAAAAATGGGCCGGTGGGAGACGAGGAGGTAGAGGAGGCCGGGGAAGACAGGGAAAGCGAGGAGGACAGCGAGCTGCTGCTGCCGCTACTGCCACTGGCGCCCAAGGAGGTGGTGATGGAGGCCTGGGAGAGCAGGAGGTCCAGCAGGCTCTCCTGACTCTCGGCCGAGGAGCTGCAGCTCCCGCTGCTCCTGCTGCTGCTCCGGCCGTCGTAGGCGGACCGCAGGAGGAGGCGCGGCGCCGGCGAGGAGGTCTCGGGGCTGGAGCAGAGGGAGGAGCGAGCGCTGGAGGAGTCGCTGAGGTCGTCCTCCGAGAGGCAGGGCGGGGAGGAGAGCGTCACCCCCTGGTAAGGGTGGTGCTGGAAGGTGCAGGAGTCGGTCACCATGACGCCCGGCGAGAGGCCGCCGCCCGTGTGGCGACAGGCGCAGCTGTAGTCAGACCCTGGGGATCCGCTGTAGTACAGGAAGGTCTCCTCACCAAGCGGCAAGTGATCCACCATTCCTGTGCGGAGGGGTGGCAGCTGATTCCGCTGAGCTCTGACGGGCGAGCTGTTAACGAGATGTTTGTCCTTTGTTTCCCTGCAAAAGAGTACATTTTGGGTTTGAAAACGAAAACAAAAATCCAACACAAAAGTACACAAAGTTCTCTTCTAGTTTCGGAAGAGTCCAAACACACACTCCGACCAAAAAGAACGATGCCGAAAAGACGTGTTTTTAGGAAACGAGTTGTGACGGATCTGTGGGCTTCAAATTGATCTTGAGTCCAGGACAACTGCCGTTTGGCAGTCAGTCCGACTTCAACTGGGAGCTTAATGTTTTACGCCACGGTCCCCGAGAGTCCACCAGAGTAAACTAGCACACCGACTGAAACTTCATGTGCATCTTTGGTCTCTGTGAGCGACCTGCTGTTTGCAGCCAGTGCCACTTCAAAAGGAAAGTGGACCTCATCTGAGAGAGCAGGAATCTATAGACTGTGTGTTCCTGTGTGTGTGTGTGTGAGAGAGAGAGTGTGTGTGTGTTGACCGTGCAGCTGCTGGTTCAGACTTCAAGCTGACCATGTGGAATCAGGGGTTCCCATTTCTCTCTACTTCAAAGATCGGAGCCACATGCTCCTCTAACGGCGCGTTTGGACTTATCTCCCCCTTGTGGTCCTTAATCCCGCGCGGTGTGAGCGACAAAGTGACCGCAACACCACAAACCGGCCGCAGAGTGTTTTACAGCCGCTCGGCTCAGAGTGGACAATGTTTTAGTGAGGGGATTTACTCTCCCTTTCCAATGCATCCAACGGCTCCCAAACAACGCTGCACATCTACATTTATATGGATTAAAAAAAATACAAATGGCTTTAGAGGAAATGAATGGCTTATGATGATTAAATCTGACTCCGAAAGCCCTCTTAAAACCTTAAAAGTACATGTGTGGAAACGTGCGCCCTCTTCTGAGAAGCTGCTTAGGCGAAGCTTTTTTTGTGGGGGGGGGGGGCTCCAGGTGGTCCGAATGAAGTGGGCTGCTGAATTGGACACCGATCCGGTCAGGAAAGCGAGAAACAACACGCGTAGTTGTTCAGATTCAGGAACAATTATGATCCA